TTTTTTTTTTTTTTTTGGTGGTACTGGGGATCGAACTCAGGACCTTGCACTTTTGAGGCAGGCAGTAGAACCACTGAGCTAAATCCCCAGCCCAACCAGGGTAATTTTTTAAAGACCCGGTCTTGTTAGTTATCCAGGTTGGCTTCAAACTTGTGATTCCCCCTGCCTCAGTCTCCTAAATATCTGGAAGATTACTGGTGTAGGCTACCACTTCCAGCGTGGATTCAGATTTTGAGGTCGTAGGTCTTAGCATAAGGCCTCTGGAAAGAAGGAGGTTGGACCAGCTCAGAGGAGGAGAGGGGCATACAGGAGCATATACGTTCCCTCCCCAGACCCGTAAAATCTCTTTTCTCCCCACAGGCCAAGCCCTTATTCAAATCCACAAGAAATCTTCCCACCGTGGAGACCTCTGCCCAGGGCACCCCGCAGACCTATGCTGAGTACGCCATTTCCCGGCCTGCAGGAGGGGCTGCAGCCACATGCCCCACGGGGTCGGAAACCTTGGCAGGAGAGACCCCCAATCAGGCCCTGAAGTCAGGGGCCAAATCCACCAGTATCATCGTGAGCCCCCGGCAGGTGAGGAGGGAGCCGGAAGTGCAACCCTGTTTCTGGTGGGGGCCCTGTTATGGGGATGGCTGTAGGCAGGGAAGGTCTGAGCATGGCCACTTGGTTCTCAGCAGTGCCTTTCACTCATTCACCCAGAACACATGCATTCATTCATTTAACAGCTCTGCGAGGGTCAAAGGTGCCCTGGCTCTCTTTATAGGGGCTGTGATGGGTTTTGTGAGCTCTTTTCCAGTCCCCAGGTTTGTTCATTCAGTAAAAATGTAACAAATGAACATGACCCTGAATTTGAATCCCTGCTGTGCTGTGCAGTAGCTGTGTGATCTTGGACAAGTGGCTTAACCCATCTGTGCCACTCATTTATTTATTGTGGCACTAGGGATAGATCCTGGGGCCTCACAGGTGCTAGGCAAATGTTCTAACACTGAGCTACATGCCTAGTGCTTCTGTGTTTTGAGACAGGATCTTGCCAAGTTGCCCATAGCCTTGAAATGGTGATCCTCCTGCCTCAGCCTTCTGGGTAGCTATAATCACAGGTGTGTGCCATTGCACCCTGCCATTGTCTGTCTTTTTTATTTTGGTCATTCTAGTGAGTGGACAAAATCTTTAAAAATTGAAGTTGGGTCCATGCACCGTGGGGCACACCTGTAATCCCAGCTACTTGGGAGGCTGAGGTAGGAGAACCACAAGTTCAAGGCCAACCTGAGCAACTTAGCAAGACTCTGTCACAAAATAAAGGAGCTTTTTTTTTTTTTTTTGGTCCCAGGGATCAAACTTGCGACCTTGAGCTGGTGAGACAGATGGCGGCACCACTGAACTAAATCCCCAGCTCTTGTTACAAAATGAAAAGGGAAAAGGGCAGTTAGGCATGGTGGTGCATGCCTATAGTCACAGCTGTATGGGAGAATGAAGCAGGAGGATTGCAAGTTCAAACCAGTCTGGGCAACTTAATGATACCCTGTCTTAGAATAAAAAAAAGAAAGGGCTGAAGCCAGAGCACTTGCATGGCATGGGCAAAGCCTAGGTTTTATACCCAGCACCCCACACCAAATTAGCCTGTTTTTCTTTCTGGGCTCCCATACCATTCAGTACTCATGCAGTGGCTCTCCCCACGCCACACAGCTTGGCGGTGACACGCTCTGGCTCGGCTCAGCTCGGCCATCTCCTCGGACAGCATCACATCCCACTAGGGAGGGCTTCGTCACCAAGTCTGCCTCCACCTGCCCTGGCATATAAATGCTGTTCCCAGGACCTCCTCAGATCCGAACAATTTACTAGAGGTGGCTCACAGAACTCTGCAAAACACTTCCATTTACGGGGTTATTCATAAAGAATAGAAGCTGGCCCTGATGGCGTTCAACTGAGGCGGGAGGACTGTGATTTCGAGCTCAGCCTGGGCAACTTAGTGACTTGGAGAGACGCTGACTCAAAATAAAAAACTAAAAGGGGCTGGAGATGTAGCTCAGTGTAAAGGCCTTGGATTCAGTCCCCAGTGCCACAAAAAAATAAAGACATAAAGACTAGAACAAAGGATGTGGACAAGCAGCCTGATGAAGTCACACGTAGGACTGGTGCAGAGCTTCCCTGCACCGTGGGTGGTGGCACCCCCCACGGGAGCCTCTGTGTGCTCAGCTGTCCGGAAGCCGGCCGGACCCTGGCCCCCTTGGCTTTTTACGGAGACTTCATTACATGGTAAGACTGATTACATCATTGGCCACTAGTGATCAGTTTAACCTTTGACCCTCTTGTCCTGTCCCTTGGTTGCTCCCTGGCCACCACCCTCATTCTGAAGACTGTGGGAGCCACCAAGAGTCACCCCTTTTCCCGGAATTCCAAAGGCCTCAGGAGCTGTGTCAGGAATCCACGCCCAGACCAAACTTTAGAACAAAAGATTCTCCCCATGCCTCTGCCTGTAGGGGCTTCAGGGTCAGGAATCAGGGGCAGAAATATTTTTATTTCTTTTTTTAAAAAATTAATTTATTTTTTTCCTTTTATTGAGTTTATTGGTACATTTAAGGTATACAGTACAATTACATTCATTATTGGGATCGTGTACCTTTACATGACAGGTCTTGGTTCTCATTTTTTTCCCCTTGTCTGTGCTGTTTTTATTTCTTTATCACAGTACCACAGCGGGTAGGTGTCCCCCAGGAGGGTAAGGATCACGGTACTCCCCAGACTGAGACACACAGTAGGTGCACTATAAATCCTCACTGGATGGATTAGAACTTGACTTGCTCGAAGAATTCCAGACTTGGGCTAAATACAGAGTGAGCTCAGGACAGAACATGAGGGGAATTCAGAGAGAAGGGCCTGCCAAGCTGACGCCAGCCCATGCAGGTCACAGGCCACAGGGAAGAGCATGGGTCTCCTGAGGGTACTCGGGAGCCACTGCAGGGCCTAGACCTAGGGCAGGGCGGGACTGCGGTTCAGGAAGATCCTTCTGGCGTTCCCTTGTACAATGGGAGGGGACAACACTGAGGCAGGAGGCCAGGAGGAGGTGAGTGGGAGGAGGAGGAGACATTGGTGAGGAACGTGAAGGAGGCAGAAGCTCCGTCTGAGGAGAGAAGCTGGAGGAGGCCAGAGGCCAGGTGGGCAGAGGGTGAGAGTACAACCCCAGGGAAAGGGGGCTGTGCTGCCTGCAACAATCCAAGGGTTGTCCCTGAGGGTGGCTGCTGTCCTTTCCTCCCTAGAGAGGCAACCCCGTGCTGAAGTTTGTGCGCAACGTGCCCTGGGAGTTTGGCGAAGTGATCCCCGACTATGTGCTGGGCCAGAGCACCTGTGCCCTCTTCCTCAGGTGAGCTCAGGCTACGCGCTTCAGGAAGTGTGACCAGGCCTGAGGTCATGGTCCTGCTTGCTGAGCCTGCCAGGGGGACCTCTGTGCTTGGCCAGACTGGTACTGGCCCTTTATGTGACTATGTTGGAAGGGGTCTTCACCTGAGCTGCCTGGAGCATGGGGGACTGGGCCTGGACCCCCAGGTCTGAGGGAGGAGGCTGGGCCTGGACCCCCGGGTCTGAGGGAGGAGGCTGGGCCTGGACCCCCGGGTCTGAGGGAGGAGGACTGGACCCCCAGGCCTCAGAGGAGGGGCCTGGATTCTGTAGTCTGACCGAGGTAAGTGGAATATCCCAGACATTCCTGATGATTTAACAAGATCAGGATTTCTCTCATCTACACACACACACACACACACACACACACACACACACACACACAGCTCCTCTGCAGACAGGCAACACAGGAATAGACATTTCAAGCAGCAGCAGGTGGCTGGGAGAGAAGCCCCTGTCCCTCCTGCCATCCCCTTGAGGCTGGGATGGGATCTGCTTCCCAAGCCGAGCTGTGCAGCCTTCCTGTCTGGAACACACCCTAAGGCCCTGGTCCTGCACGCACCCCGCTCAAGCCCGAGGAAACCAGAGCCTCAGGCTCCCAGGACACCACAGCCAGGCTGCATCGCTGCTGTGTCCTTGCTTTAAGGCACCCTTGGGCAAGCAGTTTAGCTTGCTCGGGATTCAGACCCAGTGAGGCTGTGGCTTGTACTGCGCTTGACTGTGGGCAATGGGGGACTGGGGGGGCTCCACATTGCAGTGGCTGGAGGCTGCTGGGGCCTCTGGGAAACTGAGATACCATTCTACAATCCCTGCCCTGCCAGCCTCCGCTACCACAACCTGCACCCCGACTACATCCACGAGCGGCTGCAGAGTCTGGGAAAGAACTTTGCCCTGCGTGTTCTGCTGATCCAGGTGGATGTGGTAAGTGGCTGTTCCTCACCCTTCCCACCGGGGAAATGGGTGGTGTTGAGTCCCCTTCAAGAAGTGCGTGTTAAAATCTCAGCAAGGAACCAATTTCCACACCTGAGACTGACACAGATCACCATGGGACCCTGTGTTGGCAGGGAGTGGAATGGTAACGGTGACTCTACACCCACTTCAGCCAGGCCCTGCCTGCTGCCACCTACATAGCTCTTAAAGTTGGTTTCAGCCTCCATCCCCAGAGCCCCTGTCCCAATCCCTGGCCCCTCCACCGCTCCCCAGGACCGGCTTCCTCCCTGATCGCGCGCCTCTGCTGGTCAGCAGCCACTGGGGTCTTTCTGAAGCATAGATCCGGTGTCAGCCTCCCCTGCTCGAAACCCTTCCAGGGCCCCCCAGTACCCTAGGAGTCAGTTCTCCCCTGCACAGCCTGGGCCCCTGTATGACCTGACGGCCACCCAGCCCTCCGGCCCCAGGGCTCACCTTGGCCTGCACCCCACACCGTGATCCTCGCCTCCCCAAGCCCACCTTCCCGTCTGCGCATGCGTGTGTGTCTGGAGTTCCGTTCTGTTCTCTGCTCCCTTCCCTCCTGCTCAGATGTCCCTTCCTCCCTGGGTTCCCAGGCGGCTTGGGCACCCCTCAGACTCCACGTCATCAGGGTCTCAGACAGCTCAGGAGGGCAGAGCCAGGGCAGTCTGGGTCACTGTGGGGTCCTGAAACTGCCCTATATAGGCTGGGGACCCTGGGGGAGCTTGGGGGTGTCCCCGAGTGGAAGGCTTCTGGACCCTAAACTCCGCAACCTGGCTCCCTCCCTGGCCCCAAATTCTGATTTCCTTCCTCTCTAGAAAGACCCTCAGCAGGCCCTCAAAGAGCTGGCTAAGATGTGCATCCTGGCTGACTGCACACTGATCCTTGCGTGGAGGTGAGAGCAGGCTCCTCTCCCAGCTGTCTCTGTCCCATCCTGCACGACCCCCCCACACTCCACCAGTCTCCACCCAGGAGCTTTCATGTGAGCCCTGCTGTCTTTGGGCCTCATCTGTCACACTGGGTCAGGTGTGGCACGCAAGTCTATAATCCCAGCACTGGGGAGGCTGAGGCAGGAGGATTGCCTGCAAATTCAAGGCAGCCTGGGCTACAGTGAGTTCAAGGACAGCCTGAACTACATAGTGAGACCCTGTCTCAAAAAACTAAGAATACTTGTTGTATAACAAAGATTTTAGCTTGGAATGGTGGTATGTGCCTTTAGTCCCAGCTACTCACAAGGCTGGGACAGCAAAAGTTCTTGAGTACAGCCCCATTCCCACCCCCGCCCCTGTACTGGGGATTGAACTCAGGATTTTGTACTTGCCAGGCAGGCGCAGCACCACTGAACTACATCTCAGGCCCAAGTACAGTTTTTGAGACCAGCCTGGGAAACATAGTGAGACTGTATTTCAAACAAACAAACTTGCCAGGTGTAGTGGTGCACACCTGTAATCCCAGCCCTCGGAAGGCCGAGCCAGGAGGATCACTGTGACTTGGAAGCCAGCTTGGGTTACACAGTGAGACCCTGTCTCAAAAAACCAAAACCAAACCTCAAAAAAGTTCTCACTGGCAGGTACCTGTCTTAGGAAGTTGTCTTTCTGGTGCAGTCTGAAAAATATAAAAAGTGTTTCTGGTTTTCTTCCCTCTCAAATGCAGCAGACATTGAGACCAAGAGCCCTGATGTCCCTTCTAAGACAGCTGGTATTTCCTAGACAGGCTGCTAGGAGCCGGGTTCTGGTCACTGGCAGCACTGACCCATTCAGTTGTTTTTGTTTGGAGACAGGGTCTCGTTATATATTTCAGGCTGTCCCTGAAGTCACTTTGTAACTCAGGCTGGCCTCCAACCTGTGGCAATTTTCCTGCCTCAGCCTCCCAACTCCTGGGATTATAGGCATGCACCAGCAAGCTTGGCCCCATTTAATCCTCACAGTCCTACCACCACCCACTTTGCAGATGAGGAAACTGAGGCCTACAGAGATCCAATCACTGGCCCTGGGTCACCCAGCGGGGACTGGGTTGGGGCCTCAGCCAGAAACCCCAAGAGTTTCCATGTCCCCATAATGGGCCCCGGGTTGTTGGTCTCCGCATCACGACCACCAGGAAGTGAATCTATAACATGACAGTCCCCACCTGGCTGACCATGTCCTGTCCCCCAGTCCCGAGGAAGCCGGGCGGTACCTGGAGACGTACAAGGCCTACGAGCAGAAGCCGCCGGACCTCCTGATGGAGAAGCTGGAGCACAACTTCATGTCCCGGGTGAGCCCACTGCCCCCCTCCTGTCCCTGCCTGGGCCTCCCCACAGCTTCAGGTGTAATCCCGAGCCAGGTCCTCCCTGACCAGGTCCCCTTCACAGCCCAGCCTCGGGGCCCCTTCCTCCAGGAGTCCTCCTGATCCCCGGGCCAGGCCAGGTGTCGCTGCTGGGCTCCCCCATGCCAGTCACTGCAGACTGGAACTGATTTCTCTGCCTCACTGGACCGGGAAGCCTAGGAGGACAGGGCTGTCTGGGTTCCAGTGGGCGACCCTGCCATACACGCAGCTGCTGCTCCACCCTCCTTCAGGTGGGGCGCGTGGGCTGCTCGTGTTCAGTCACCTGGGGAACTCGCTGGCAGGGCTGGGATCTGAACTGAGGGGGCCAACACCCCGGCCATCACCCAGAAATGGGAGCCACGTGGAGGCCTTAGTGCTGGCCAGCGATATCCACGGTCACCCTTACACACTAGGGGAGCTACTGGAACCCCCACCTCCGATAATGAGGCCAGAGATGTGGCTCTCTGCCCTGGCATTATGGGGTACAGGCAGCAGGCTAGTTCTGCCCCAGGCCACGTTCAGCACCTCTGGTCTCCCTCAGGATGGAGCCTGCTCCCTGTTCATCTCCCTAGGCGATCAATACCCTCAGCTCTTTGGGGGTCACTCTGACGTGACCTTCAATGAGTCCCCAGTGAAAGCATTTACTGGGCACCTCCTGCGTGCCAGGTGTGGGGGGGACCCAGCCTTGAATCTGCACTGCCCTCACAGGCTCAGAATTTGTGCCTTCTCCCACTGTACTCTCTTCCCGGTCCAGGTCACTGAATGTCTGACCACGGTGAAGTCAGTCAACAAAACGGACAGTCAGACCCTCCTGTCTACTTTTGGGGTAAGGACCTGACAACTTTTCTCCCTCCTCTCCCAGGCAGCCCCCAGCCATACCCGCTCACCTCCCTGCCATCTGCTCCAAGCCTGCACCTCCTCCTAGGGGTATCTTGGGGGCCCTGACTGGGACAGGATGGGCCTTTGTGCTCCCCACTCTTGACCGCTCCATCCCACCCCCCTCAGTCTCTGGAACAGCTCATGGCAGCATCACGGGAAGACCTGGCCTTATGCCCTGGCCTGGGCCCCCAGAAGGTAAGTCCTCTAGGAAAGGGCTTGAGGGGTTGGGGTCAGGGGTGACTGTGATACCAATCGGGCCTCAGACCCCAGAGTTTTAAGGTTTCAGAAGGCCCAGTTACCATCTGCTTCTCTTATAGATGGGGAAACAGGCCTACGAGGGTGGTAGGAACAGTCTGGGTAGAATCCAAATCAGCTACTTCTCTCCTCCCTTCTGGAGCCCCCTTCTAAGCTGGGAAAAAAGAGCCAGAACCCCACTCTAGATATAGCCAACCAAGGACCCATTTAATGACTAGTTCTCCCTTTCTTCCCACCCAAGGCCCGGAGGCTGTTTGACGTCCTGCACGAGCCCTTTCTCAAGGTGCCCCGATGACCCCAGATGCTGATACGACAATAAAACATTGTCCGGGCCCAGGCTCTGGCTGAGTGCTGGTGCAGTCTCTGGCTGGGGCTGGAGGGTGTGTGCAGGAGGTGTGGGCTTCTGTGTCACCTTCCAATGGCCCAGGTGGCCGGCCATCAGCCTTTTGTGGCTCCTCAGTGTCCCATAGGATCCACCTGTGGCTTCCTCTTACGCTTCTTTCTTTCTGTGGGATCCACCTCCTCAGACTCCAGATTCAGTGGCAGTTCGGGCAACTCCTCTAGGGGTGCCGTTTCTGGCACCCTGTTTTCCTGACCCCGCTTCCTTTTCTTCTTGGTGGATCCCAGAGTTGCCCCAGGGTGGGGCTCCCCGTCACCTGGCGGCTCAGGCTCCTCCATCTCCCTCGAGGGCTCGCTCGTCCCAGTCCTGGGCTCCCCTGCTTTGTGCCCCCTGTCCTTCTTCTTCCTAGTGGACACTAGAGCTGCCGGAGGTTCCAGGTCACCTGGCAGCTCAGCCTCCACCACCTCTGGCGCTGGCCCTGGCATCACATTTTGCCACTTTTCTTCCTTCTTCCTCTTCTTGGTGGACACCAGGGCTGCCTCAGCCTGAGGCTCAACAACTTCCTCTGGCAGTTCTGGCTCCATTATCTGCCCGTGGGGCACCAGAGGTCGCACCTCGGGCTCCGCAGCCTCAGTCCCTGGCTCCATGGTCACCTCTGGCCTCTTTTCTTTCTTCTTCTTCTTCTTCTTCTTTCCGGGCGGCAGTAGGGTGGCTTCCTCTCGGAGCTCCTCTGTCAACCCCTCTGCTGGCTCCATCCCTTCTGTCTCCTGCTTCTGTCTCTTCTTGGTGGGGAAGAGAACCGTGTCTCCAGGAGATTCGGGTTTGACTACAGGTCCTAGCTCTGCCTTCTTTTCCGTTGGCTCCACCGTTTCTGCCCCTTTGGGCTGCCTCTTCTGCTTCTTGGAGGTGGGTGGGACCAAAACTCCCAGAGGCTCTGACACCTCAGCCTTGGGCTCCTTCAGCCCTGGTTCTTCCAGATGGTGCTTTTTTTTCTTCTTCTTCTTCTTCCCCATGTCCATTTCTGTCTCTACCTCCGGGGCTCCACGCCCATCCACTGCCCCTTGTGTGGTGGAGCTCTCTGGTATCTGCCTCTTTTTCCTCTTCCCCGAGGAGGGTGATGGAGCCATGGGTGACCCGAGTCCTGTGACCGGTGGGCTGCCTCCAAAGGCACAGAAACGAGGCCTCAGGCCAGGAGGAATCTGGGGTGGGGGGCTTCTTGGAATGGGCTGCAGAGGAACCCCTGACAGGGGTTCTTGGGGACCCTCAATGATCCTTAGGCTGCCCTGGGGGGCAGGGCCACAGGTGAGTCCACCTCCTGCTTGTGCTGAGGGAGCCAGCAGGGTGGCTTCTCCCGCCTCGCGGTCACTACTGCCCAGGACTTGGTAGCGGTGCCGCTTGCCCGCCAATTTGCCCTTCACGATGTGGGAGCCGCAGAGGGGCACCAGCCGCCCATTGAGGCTGAGGGAGGAAAGCAAGGAAAGAGACTTGGTCAGACCCTTTTGGTAAGGAGGGAAGAAAGCCTAGAAACAGCATACCGGGGCGCTTGGAAATGCCCCCTCTAAACTCCCTCCAAGTTCAGCCTCTGGAGCAGGGAGGGGAGAGGGACCCTCACCAGTCTGGGATGAAGTCTGCAGGGGCCTGGATCAGCCACAGCTCTGTATCCGGGCCTGTCAGCGTCTCCAGGGAGAGACCAGAGGGTTCTGAGGCCGAGCGGATCGCGGTAAAGTTAGGGGGACAGGAGAACCGAGCAGCACCTACGGAAGAAGAGGAAGCAGCGTCTGGTGACACGCTCCACTCTGAAGCGCGCCGGTGGTCCGCCCATCGGTCCCGACCTCCAAAGCAGCGCTACAGTTTCCTCCCCCCGGGTCGCTTCTCCGCTCGTCTGTTTCCGGGGGGGCGTCGCCTATCTCCAGCCCCGGGGTGCCCTTCCCTCCACCAGTAATCCCCCCAAGACAGCAGCTCGCGGTGCAAACTCCCTTTACCTCGGGAGATCTCCCCGCTGGCTCAGTCTGGCGATTCCCCGTTTTTCACTAGAGCTTTCCCGGGCACCCCTTTCTCCGCTCAGTCCTTCCTCCCCACCCCATCTACCCGCCCGCTCACCGCCCGACTGGGTCCCCTCCATCCCGCAGCCAGTGCAACACGCAGCTTCAGCAGCGGTGCTGCGGAAGGCCGCGGTCGACCACGTGGATCCGAGGGGCGGGGCATCTCCCGGAAGTGCCCAAGTGTAGTGGAACTGCGGGGGCGCTGCTCGGCGCCTGTTGTTTTTACTGGGAAAACGGAAAGTTTCCCACTCCACAGAGTAGACGGCTAAGGGAATGTTATTTCTCCAACATGTGCTCCAGAAGGAAGCGGGCTCATCATGTCTCTAGAGTGAGGGCTACATTAGATCTCTGTAGGTCTCCCCCACAATATCTCCGACATGATTTGTTCCAACACCGCCTTAAAGGGGCAGTCGCACTCGGAGGTCCTAACTCTTAAAGAGACAGATCGATTGGGCTGCAATTCTTAAAAAGGTAACAATCCTCGTTGGCGGGGCTCTGTCCTCAGGGTTGGAATCCCTTCTAGGGGAGCTAAGATGCCTCGGAAGTTTAGGATTTGAGTGGGAGAGGTCAGAAAATGGAAGAAAGCGGGTAATCACTCCTTAGGGCTTCGAGTATCAGTCTGGGGCGGGGCTTTCTGGATTCTGGGGGAGCGGGAAACACAATGGGAGGAGCCTCGGACCCGGGAGCCAAACCAGCTCGCAGCTGTGCGGGCTAAGGGGCGTGGTTTGTGGATCGACAGCAACATGTAAATACCCTCGAGGATCTATCTAGTCTTGAGCTTGAGAAATATTATTCCCTATGGTTTTGAGGATTCGAGAGGGGGTAGGAGTCCTGATCGCTGACCCTTGCCTGTCCGGAGGGCGTGGAAACACCGGCATGTAGACGAGGATTTGGGGGAGGCGCCCACGCTCCTTGCTACTAGGACTGCCCCGCGTGGGGCGGCGGGTGGAGCCGAGGGACCGCGGCTAGACTGGGTGACCCGACTGCATTCCTGGCCCGTGTGTCAGAGCCGCTTTCCACCCCCTCTGCCGAGGTGTCCGATTCTATTCCAGAATTGAGGTGCTCCCCTTCTCCTGAGGCTTCCCAAAGCAGAGAGAGGAGTCAGGGGAAGGGGAAGTGCTCTCTCCACCGGTGATCTCCAGACAGTTCCCTGAGAGTGGGCAAGGGACTCTAAGGCACCGCCCCTGCCGGCTCAGAGACTACGATTCCCACAGGACTACAGTGGCGAGGCCCCAGGCGGCTGTCGCGGTTGCTGCTGGGGGTTGTAGTCCAGCCCCGACTTCAGGCCCTGGCTGAAGAATACTATGCAGAATACAGTACCCCTTTTTACCGACGGGTAAATTGAGGCTCTGAGCCCGAGAGGATACTGCTTTAGCGGGGCGCTCTTCTCGCCTTAGAAGGAGGCATCCGAGTCCCATCCTCTCAGCCTCCAGTCTTCCACCCCTTTGGGGGCGTCCAAATCTTGACTCCCTAAAGGGGAAACTGAGCCATGAGGGCTGGCGAAGGGGTCAGGAGTACGTCTTCTGTAACTGCAATGAAGTAGGAGGCTCGGGTTCCCCGCATGTTAAAGACCAGTCGTCCACGGCTTCGGGGGCCACGCTTTTCCTGTCTGTGAAATGGACTCCGTGTGAATCCCAGTGGGAAAGTCTCGGGCTGCGTCTTGCCTTCCGGGACTACAAGTCCCAAGGTGCTTGAGGTGACCTCGCTGCCCCTCCCCCGCGGGACCCGCCTCCCTCCAGCCCGAGTCACGTCGTCTAACCTGTTCCCGGCTCCCGCCCCGCCCCGTCCTCCGCTCCCCGCAGCTGGAGCCGGAGCCGGAGGAAGCCCCCCGTGCCAGGACCTGCCTCGGACCGGTGAGTTCCGCCCCCCTGGGGTCCAGCGGCCCTAGAGGAGCCAGACACCGCGCCCCTGGAGGACTGGGAGGGAACTTGGACACTAGGTCCCGGTGCAGAATGTGGGGTGCGCAGATGTCTGGGTTCCCTGAAAAGAGAAAACTCGGTTGTCTGACTTACTGGGCGGGAGGAAGGGGGCCTCGGGTGCCTGAGTACTTGGAATAGAATACTCGGACCCTATGGTCTTGGGGAGGCATTGGAGCTGGGGTTCCTGAGTTCCTCGAATGGGGGTCTCTGGAAAGCCTGAGCCCTTGGGTAATCCTAGGGTCTCAAATCCCTGACTCGTAGGCAGAAATAGGAGGCTGGAATGGTGGGGCTGTGGAATGGGTCGTCACCCTGACGCCCTCCAGCTGCCTTCTGGGCTGCGTCTCTGAGCATAACCCGGAGTGGGCGGGGATAGTGGAACGTGGGTCGCTGGAAAGGAGCGGAACAGGTACCCTGGGTCCCTCCGCAGGCTCTGTCTCGGCGCTTCCCCCACTTTCCGGCTTTGGGGTGGGGGCAGGGGGTGAGAAAACCGGGGCAGCTCTTCAACTCTGTGCGGCTGAGCGAACCCCAACATGTCATTAACCGGGGCGTCAGACCTGCCTAACCAGAGGAAGGACATCCGCCCAGGGCGCCCCCTGACGGAGGCAGGAGGCAGGAGGCCTCTAGTTGCCCCATGCGAGTGTTGTGATCCGGGTAAGCAGAAGTCATTCTAGAGTCTAGGGCAGAATTCCAGAACGGAGGGCTGGACTCTGGGAGGCTTGCATGGCCTGGCATTTATGCATTGCATAAAGGAAGGGGTAAACTGAGGCTTAGTGGTGACACGGGCAGTAGTGTTGTGGGTCAGGTTTGGCCTCTGTCTTGCTCTTCTGGCAGCTCTCTGGGAGACAAGATTCTGTCTACTCCTGTCTCCCTCGTGGGGCTCCTTGACCTGACCCCGGACTGAGACTGTCACCTCCACACTTGGCTGTCTGACCTGAGTTACTGTGCAGATAAGGAAGGAAGAGAGGCTAATTCTGGAGGTGTCCTTGAGGGAGGGCAGGGGTGGGCAGGCACCTCCCTCTGTCTCTCCCTTCTCTCCACCCTGATGTGTCATGGGGGGGAATCTGACCAGAGAGGGGTGTTGGCTGATGTCTAGGTTTGAAGGGCATTTAGTGACAGCCTGAAATGAAATTAAAAATAATAACTGTGGCTGCCAACGCAGGGCGTGTGTCCTGCCTGGCTCAGGTCTGGCAGGTAGACAAGATGGACACCATGGTGCAGAGAAGTCTCTGGCGATGGCCCAGAAATCAGACTCAAGAGTTCCACCTTTTATGAGATGAGCTGACTCCAGGGCAGAACTCCTCTCTATCTACTAGTTTGGAAACTGAGGCTGGCAAGCAGGACACCCACCACCTCTACCCTAGACTTTGGGCCACCTCTGTCTAGACTCTTCCAGGGCTCTCCTGCCCCAGTCTTCTAAGTTACTAGGGAGGATCACCCACCAGAACTCAGGAATGGACAGGGGGAATTTAGACCTCAAAACTCAAGGGTCCAGGGGATTGAGATCCCAGGCATCAAAGTTCAGAGATTTTAGGATCTCAGAACCAGTTGTGGAACCCAGTGTGGTAGTACACACTGTGATCCCAGCACTTGGGAGGCTGAGGCAGGAGGATCACTGCAAATTCGAGGCCAGCCTGGACTACAGAGTGAATTCAAGGCCAGCCTGAACTACATTGCAAGACCTTATCTTAAAAAAAAAAAAAGAGTTGAAAGTCCCTTTGGGGAGTAAAGTCTTACTTTGGGTCTTGAGCTCACTCTGTGCACAGCGATCCTCCTGCCTCAGCCTCCCGAGTGCTGGGATTACAGGCATGGGTCACCATGCCAGCCTGTGTGTGTGTTTTTTTTTTCCTTTGGGGGAGGTGGTACTGGGAATTCAACTCAGAGACGCCCCCCCCCACCAGGGATGGAACTCAGGACCTTGCGTGAGGCAGGCGGGTGATACTGAGCTAAATCCCCATCCCTGAACTGAGGGACTTTGCACTGAGCAACATCCCCAGCCCATTTTATTTTTATTATTTATTTATTTTTGAGATAAAGTAGTAAGGCACTAAGGCAGTAAGTTACCCTGGCTGAGGCCTGAATTTGAGATTCTCCTGCCTCTGCCTCAGAGTGCTGGGATTACAGGCGTGCCAGCACCACGCCCTGACTAACCCTGTATTATCTTAATGAACCATCAAAGAAGGCTGGTAATTAAGGATTCAAGATGTGTGAACCTTATTTCATGCACTGCACTGTTCTAAACACTATACCAAAATTAGGTCAGCCAATCCTCACACCCCTTTGAGGTGAAGGTATTTATTTGCCCATTAAGCACACAAGGAAAATGAGGTACAGAGATGGTAACTAGCCCCAGGTAGAGGTAGAGAGGAAGCTCCTAGCCCATTCCGCTGAAGTCCTCAAAAGTGAAAATCAAGCCCCAGAGAAAGCGGGGGAGGTTACTCTTCCGGCGATAGATCCTTAGTGCAGACCAAGCTGGAGGAGTCCGACCTGCCAGCCCCTGCTGGCGCCCTGACTTGGTTCCTACTGAGGGCGCCTCCTCCAGGAGGCCACAGGATCCTTAACCCCAAAGAGCCCGGCAGGCTGCTGAGGAGGCTGGGCAGAGAGCTGGGGGTGGAGCGGAGAGAGGAGCCCAGGAGAGTACACTGGGGTGGGCGGGAATCCCCGGAAGGAAGGGGTAGCCGGTGTTGGAGGGGAACCCAGGGTAGAGGAGCTGGGGGCGGAGGGCGGGGTCCTGGGAACACAGCCGCGG